TTCATACCCATTTATGCTCTTGCATCGCTTTGGTTCTCTACATGTTCCCATGCAAAATGAATTAGATGACTCTTAATAGAAATCTTCAGGGACCAAGGGTTGGATGTTATTGTTGTATGGCATAAAGAAACATTAGGGTGTAGGAGAAAAATGTACAAAGTGAGATTGGGTGAGTTTATGATCAAAAGCAATTGTATTTCATGGGCAAGCGTCCTCATCTTGCTTGTGTTAAAGTAGTATGTTCATGCTAATCAGACGGACGAATCAGAGTCGGGTTTTATCTATTGATATATAGTTCAAACACTCAAATTTTTGCTTCCTTATTTGCACTATGTGTTTATTCCAAAGGTTAGGTCACGTCATGCTTAGCTATTCATTTAGGTGTGCATACTGTCTCGGACTATAACCTGACCGGACCCACCAGGTTATTCGACCAGAAAACATACTTATTTAAACTTACTTAGTGGTACGGGCCGTACCGCACAGGATGCATTAACTTGATTTTATTCCGGTCTGGTTCATGTTCACCTATAATACGACAATACCTGCCGGTTCTTGTTAAACGTCTGTTTTGCACATTATTTAACTTAATCTATGCAATCGCATGGGACTGAACCAGAATCAGTTCTGGAGTCAAAATTAAAATTTAACCTTTGGGCCTAGTTCAACTACTTGAATTGTTGTTGACTGCTTCTGCAATCGGCATATCCACATATGTGTTTGCACCTGAGGGTAGGTCATGTCATGTTGGGGCTTTTCGATACGGAATCGTATGGACCGATTCGTAATGAGTACCAATCAGTGGCGGATCCAGAATTATATCTTATTTGGGGCAGCCAGGCAGGATAATTAAAAAAAGCACCAGAAAAAAAGTATTAATGTAATATTAAAATAGCAAAAGTTTTAACAGAATACATCAAATAATTTATGCCGAGTTTTCAATTGAAATAGTTTTCGTGGGAAGTCATGATCACGCGTGTGGTTGACAAGATTCTTTAATAAAATATTTTCTCCCGATTTTTATTTATTTGATTAGGATGATATCCTTATTTTTTTTTCGTTTTATGAGATCTAAGGTAAGCTCATCTATCAATACCATTCTATTAGGTATTGATAGAGAACATTAAGAAGAACTATTAGAAACAATACTTTTTTTTGCGAGATACTTGAAACAATACTATTTCAACTATGAGGTATTGGTGAAAGAATTGTAGCCTAATATCTCTTCATTGAATCTATAGAACAAGTTGAATTAAGTACAATTTTTTTAATACATTAATACATTTTAATTGACCACCTAAAATAACATATTATTTACATTTAGGAATTCTGACTTAATTACTAAATGACATTTTCTATTTTCTAATAGTGTAAACATTAGACTAAACTACATATTTATGATTAAAATAAAGATTGTTTACAAAAAAATGTGATGATTGTTTAAAATAAACATTAAACTAAACTACATATTTATGATTAAAATATTTATGATATTATACAAATTTAGAAGTTTAATAATTTTATTTAATATTTATATTTATATAGAAGTTAAAAACTAATGTATTGCCTTACACAAGTAAACAACACAATGATCATATACAGATGGAAGGATTAAACAACTAAACAAGTATCCAACCAAAAGACAATCAAAGCAACACACAAACGATTAATTGAAAGAAGAAATTAAAAATAATGTGAAGAGGTCTATATCCAATTATCCATCAACGGTGTGCGGCTAACCTGTTGCCTCTTGGATTCTGGGCGGGCAAGAGGATCGTGGGTTAATTGGGGGCAATCAGTTTTTTGTATTGGGGGCAAATATTTGAGCTTTTAATATTTATAAAGAAATTAGAGGAAATTAGTGGGCCTTTATTGGGGGCAGCTGCCCCCCATACACTCTTAGTAGATCCGTCCCTGGTATCAGTAACCATGTGTTTTAGTGTCTGGTTACGGTTCCCCCAAAATATGACCTGACCAGCATATTTAAGTTTTACGGAGTATCAGATTTTTTAAAATTAACTAGTTTCTTACGCGCTACGCGCGTTAAATAGAATGCCCAAGAACAATAGACGTATTGTAGTGTCTATAATAGCAAAAGTAAGTATTTATATATCCATAGGAACGAATAGCAAAAGTAGATGTAAATGTGAAAAGTAATCAACCAATTTTTAAAGACTGGTTTACAAAGACATCTAAAAGGAGGTAATAAAGTCCTAACGACACCAACTTGTGATTGAGATATACCATCTCGGCATCTCCTTCGCGAACTTCCAAATATTCCAATTACAGAATATAAATGTCAAAGGTAGCTCCATTTTCTCTTTAATCTATGACTGAGGTAGTTTATAGTGCAGCCACCATGCATCCACTTGATACAAATAGAACATTTTCCTTTTCTTGCTACAATTATTTATCTAGTCTGGCTTACGTTGAGTTGAAACCTATCATGGTAATACTGAAATAAACTATTCTATATTAATCTAGAAATGGTATTTTAGATTACCATAATTTCAGAAACATGTGCAATCAGATTAGTGGAAACTATGAGGAGTCAAAAACCACATGCCCATTTCACTCAATCTTCCTGCAGTGGATGAAGATTGGACCTTAAGTATGATTGCAGACCCAATTCCAAAGACATCATGGGTCCATCCAAAGCAAGATAATTTATATGTTTGATTATCCATGTCCTTGGAAAGAAAATATAATTGGAACACTGCCAAGGCCTCTGGATGACAGCAAAACCAACTCAATAACTTCGAACTACATGGCACTGCAACATATATATATATATATATAGAGTGTGCATCAGCAAAGTATATTAGATCAAGAAGTTCAAAATGAATTATGAATATAAGAAAAACTTTATAACTATTAAATGAAAGAAAAGATGGCCTACATTCACCAAACTCTTAAGCCAATTCTTCATATTGGAAATACTTATAAAAAGAGTAAATCCGACAGCAACAAAGAGAAGATAATCCTCCCATTTTAGAATCTTAGATCTAACAGAATCAATAAGATCTTAGTGTTACCAGCCTTTTAAATCGTTTACCCGGAGGAGTTGTCAAGTTAGTTATGAGAATCTTTGTTTACAAGCTCCACTAAGATCTCCCGTTTACATAGTTCAACCAAAAAATAGATGTGTGACCAAAATTTTGTATTTTTAAAATGTGATTAGAATGCACATAAAATGAAGGTGAGTTTCTTTCTTTACAAAATGTGGAACTGGTGATTAAGGAACCAATGAACCATATGAGATAAAAATTCATTTTATAAGTATTATTAGCGTTAGACATTTATATGTCAACATTCACCATATTGTTTATCTTTTTCAAACATGTCGGTTTAAAAACCTATGAATATGTACTTACATAAAAAACATAGATTAACCCAATCACAAGCCCCTCTGGAGGACATATGTTGCACATCATTAGTAACAAGCCCTTGCGGAGGACATTATAAAAAATCTTAGTATTTGCCAAATTCAGGGTCTTAGTTCTATAACGGTTCTAATACAGTACCACTTTTTAATGGGTGGAACTCATGCTCGACGAATGATCCACACAGATATGATTTTATAGCGACAATTCCTTTAGCATGTTATATTTACAATTTGTTTTTTGAGAAAGTGATACTTTTCTTGTTTAATTAATATACATGGGTAAACTTTAATTTTACAAAGACTTGAGTATCAACTGATTCATCAAATAAACAAATGTCTTAGTTGTTCTGACTCATCTAACATAATTCAATCCTAGTTACCACTATTTAAGGTGTATCTTAGATTTGATTTTATTCCAAAATCATTATTCCAAATAATTGTTCCCGAAATAGGACTAAAAAAGTTTGAAAATTCCAAAATAGGACTGTCATGTTTTTATTCCCAAAATAGGACTAATTACTGCCAAATTTGGAAAATATTGCCATGTTTGAAGTATGGTACTGCCAAAACATGACAGTAATAAGTCATATTTTGAGAATAAAAACATGGAAGTCCTATTTTGGAATTTGCAAACTTGTTTAATCCTATTTCGGGTAATATCCCTTAAAAATACTACTCTTTGTTCTAATTCAACTACTTATCTAACATAATTTAGTATCTTATTGCTTCTTGACTAGTTATGCATGTATACCCGGTTCTTATACATAAAGTATAAAATAGTCTAAAAACACATTTAGGTATATTTGCAAGCACCTAGTATGCTTTAAAGAGTAGAGATTTTTCTACCAATCTAAATACCTCATTTAAGCATTTGTACTGAAATCATAATTCAATCCTAGTTACCACTATTTAAGGTGTATTTGATTTTATTACAAAACCCGTCCACCATGACATCGGAAGAAGTCAAAACGATGTCGACTTCTTCAGACTTCCCTAACGATGATATCTGAATACTAGGAGGAGATCATGCGGCAGCAAGGAAGGGTTAACGTTGTTTTAACATTTCCGTTAAAACAGAAGCTACAACTGAGGTCAGGTGTACAAAAAAGTATACGCGATGTACACTAATTTCATGCATCAAGAGACACCAACACATTTTTAATGACTATTATACCCCTGACAATATTCACTCTTATAATATTGTAGAGAAACAGATGACAAATTCGGGTTGTAACTAGACCAAACCCGCCCAATGTCAGCCTCTGCAGATGTTATTCACTGTTTTGATAAGAGGGAGTCTAACTATTTCATTAAACATTTTGTGTGTGTACAGAAGAAGGTATCTCAGTTCATGAGCCATGCAGCCTGCCTTAATGAGACATTCTCTGTTGTGAAGCCGCCTGTGATCCGACCTCAGTTAACAACAGGAGTGGCAGCTTGGTCTTTCATGACTAAATTTGCTCTAAAGGAAGCATGAATTTCTGTTCTTGTTTTTCTTTTAACTAGTCTAGTTCTGGTTTATATGTATATTTCGTTGTAAAATAGTAGTGTACAGGTTCAGTTGCTGCACTTTCGTTGTTGTTGCACTTTTTGTGAACACAGTAGTAAATGGCATATTGTTGAAGTTGAAATAGAGACGGATATTAGCAAAACAGGTCTGAAAATAAACTAGCACAATCACGCCAAACAGCAAAAAACAGCTACATACTTCACTTAATAATAGCTAAATAACGGATATTAGCAAAACATGTCTGAAAATAAACTAGCACAATCACGCCAAACAGCAAAAAGCAGCTACTTCACCTAATAGCTGAATAACAATAGTCAAATTAAGTTCTTATTTACCCCCTACAGACACAGGCAAAAGAAGCAAAAGGAGGAGAACATCATGGATTAGTTATGCGATCTTGCCTCCGCATACCCTTCCTCGCCAACCCTGTTTCGGACACAGACGTAACCCAGTCCGATGTTGACGTCATCGGCCGTGACCTTCTCCAGAAGCCCTTCCGGAGCTTTGTCAACCTTGGTGACCACCGCAAGTGTCCTTTCCCCGGACCTGTCCACTTTCTGGGACATCCTAATGGACTCGCACGTGGGGAAATCCACCGTCGCAGACAGGACGTTGAGGATGATACTCTCTTGCGGGGCTATGTACTCCATGATGATGCCTGAGATCTGCTCGTAGATGTCGGCGGGCTGGCCATGAACCGGAACTCGGGTGATTCCGGGCAAGTCAATCATGGTCAGGTCAGGAACTCCGTTCTTCCTCACGACCAGAGTCAACGGGGTGTGGGAAATCCCTTTCCCGAACCCGGCAATCTCCTCGGTGGCCTGAACAATGGCTTCCTCGATGTGGGCTTCGTCGGTAGGGACAGTTTTCTTACTGTACTCCAAGTGGAGCTCTGGGTTATCGAGAAGAGGGGCGTTCTGGAGGCGCATGATGAGCGGGACACGTGTGCAAATCCCCTGCCCTCTGGGGAGGCTGATTCCGGCGAGGGACTCGAGGACGCTGGACTTGCCGGAGGACTGGTCGCCGACGACGACGATGGTCGGGAGCTGGATGCCTTCCTGCATGATCTTGAGGTGCCGGAGCTGGTCGACGCAGTCAAGAAGGGGCCTGATGCGCTCGTTGCAGGAGGAGATAATGGGGGCATCGCCGGTGGCTGATGGTCTACAGACCAATGACAGTGAGGATTCTTCCCCCATCTCTTGCTTCTTCAATGCTTTCCTTTGATCTAGCTCTTTGTGAGAACTTGCTCAGTACAGAACAAGCGGAAAGTGAGTACTACAGGATGATGACGATGATGATGAATATGGACAATGGGGTTTGCAGCATACTGTAAATATATCTATATGGAAGAGTTGGGAGTAATACAAGTACATTTACACAAGAATGGAAAAACGGAGGCATCATTAAGAAGATCACAAACGGATACTCTGAGGGAGTGAGTAGTCACTTCTGTCAATCTGAAGGCTCTCCCTGTACATACCCTCAAACCACCCGGCCTATCCATGCGCTGATGCGCCCATGCCCTGATACACTCCACATCCCTAAAATGAACTTTCCTGAAAGAGTAATTTGGGCCATTTGGCTAAATCATTTCCTGTCAAATTATATGTATACAATTTAGTTAATTTAATTTTTTCTTGAAATTCAACACTATTAATATATTCATTCAACAATTTTTTAATTAAATTCTTATTTTTATCATTATTATACTTTAATTTTTCCATTTTTTACAAATAATTATAATTTTAAAAGTCAAAAACATTCTGATGTAAAAAAAATAAACTTAGAGTTTGTATTTTTGTTGATACTTCAGGCATATTTAAAAGAAATTAAAGAAAGATGTAACAACAATTAACCATGAAATCTTTATTTTAGTATTTGGATATATTTAAAAATAATAAGTCTGAAAATCTCCAGTAGTTGAAACTTAATTTTTAAAAACTTTATATATAAATATTGATGTCATATGAAAAAATATGTCTATGACTTGTTCAGTTTTTATATGAAACTAGTAAAAAGTCATAAAAATATAACTAACAAAATCGGTTCAGTTGCTATATAAAAATTCAAGAATTGTTATGAAACTGAACCAGTACTAAACGATTAGGTTCTTACTTTTATTGGTTCCTAAAACTATTTTCTTTTCTCATAAAAAATTAGCACAATTTACTTTCTACCACATAAACATGTCAAAAATTAACACAATTTACAAAAAAGCTTTAATCGCTCCAAGTTCAAACTTAATTTAGTAAATACTTGGTAGAATGTTTTTATTTAAGTTTCATTTGTAATAAAATATGTTGTTATTTGATACCAATAAAGGTTTGATATCATAGTAGAAGGAAACAAGACGTCTAGTTCAACTACAACCAAACTTAAAAAACATATTGAATACGCATATACATATATAAACATTATTAAATTTGAAATCTTTGAAGCTCAATATACAATAAATCTCATAATTAAAATCATCTTGAATATTAAGTAAAAATACATTACATTGAACTAACATGTATTTGTTAATAATGTATTTATTTATATTAATTAGTTTGTCTAATAATAGTAGGAAATCTTATGTATCTTGGACTCTTTTATTATAAATAATACCTCTGGGGCTACCATTGAGGTAGGCTTCCATATCATTCTCACATGGTATCAAGAGCCCTAGGGCATTTATTTTTTTTTACGATCATTTCTTCGTCGTCCTCTGCGAGCGACTCTTCGGGAGTGTTTGCAATTGCTTCAACTTTAAAAAAGTGATTTTTTAAAGTGATTTTGGGAAAAGTGATTAATAGTAAAAGTTGGTAGTGTTTGAGAAAAAAGTGATTCTAGAAAAGTAAAAGTTTGTAGTGTTTGGTAAAATAAGTACTTTTTGTGTAATAGAAAAAGTGAGAAGCAGTTTAAAGCACCCTTCTACCTGCTTCCAGCTTTTAGCTTTTAAGTGATTAATTTAAGTAGAAGCTGTCATTTGAAAACACTCTTTTCAACTTTTTTTAAGCCAAAAGTTGAAAAGTGCTTTTTTTAAGTAAACACAAACACTCCCTTCGTCCCTTACCATGGATAACATCCTCTTGCAGAGCCAAGCCGGCGCCGTTTCCAAGCTCGCCGGGTGTGTTATCAATTCCGCCGCTGACATTCGGCAGTTGGGTGCCATTGATTTTCACATGGTCACCAACCAGTCCGGTGGTTTCCTACACCTCCAGTGCATCAACGGCGTCCTCATCTGGTGCGGTTTCAACCTCTCAGCCAACCGCAACTAATGACAGACTGTTCGCCGGTTCAACCTTGATCGGTTCTCCTGGAGTGTCTCTAATTCCGAATGTCACCAACAGTGCACTTCGGCCGCAGGTAACAAACTCTACTTCTTCCGTGGCAGTTCTTGCTTAGTCCTTGGGTGTTTCCGCTATGAACTTTACAAATATTGTTACTACAAAATTGAATGTTGTGGAAGATTATTTACCCTGGCAAACGCAGTTTGAATCCTTTTTAGTTTCTCATAGTATGCTTGGAATTTTGGATGGTTCAATTTCTGTCCCTGATATGTATGTTATCACTCCTCCAAATTCCCAAGTTTTGAATTCCGATTATTGTCACTGGCTAAAATTGGATCAAACTGTGCGTTCATGGTTATTAGCTATCCTATCGCGTGATGTTCTGGTTGAGGTGCATACTCTGAAACATTCTAAATTAATATGGGACCGCCTTGAATCTCGATTTCTAGCGGCAAGTTTGGCTCGCTCCATGGAACTAAAATCCATGCTGAGTACACTTTGTAAGAAGGAATCTCAATCCATGGAGCACTACCTATGTGAAATCCAAACTATTGCTGAAGCATTGGCGGCTATCAATGATCTTGTTTCTATGAAGGATCTTCTTGAACGCACGCTCATTGGTTTGGGGCCTGATTATCGTTCCGTGGTCACTCCTCTCATGTTGTTTCCCGAAGGCCTGACTTTTGAAAATTTATGTACTAAGTTGGTACAACAAGAGCAATGGCTCCTTTTTCAACAACGACAATAACAGATGCTTGGCACTCCAGCCTTTGCTGCCCCACAGCCCGTTCACCAGCAGGAAGCAGCAGTTCCGAGGGGTCCTCCACCCCAGCAGCAGCATCAACACGCCCCACGAGGCAGAGGTGGCAGACGCGGACAGCGAGGCAGAGGGGGTCGCGGTCGTGATGGTAGAGCCTACGGCCAGCAACCTCCCTATGGCGGCGGACAGTATGGCGCTCCTCCGGGTTATGGTGGCCATCCGCCAGCAGCATATGGACATTATGGTGGACCGCCTCCTCAGAATTTGGGACCATCAGGTCCAGTTGTAGGTAATTCAGTTGCGTCATGGTATAATACTAGCTATGCTTTATCTACTTCTGTTACTAACTGTGTGACTGCAGGTTCACCATCTTTTGACCATGGTTTTGGTAGTGTTCCACCTCCGGGTTTTTGTCAAATATGTCATTCTCCAGGTCACTCTGCCGTTACTTGTTCGTCCCGCTTTGTTCAATCTTCGAATTCTGCTTTGGCCGTCTCCACTGGTGAATCTCCGTCTGCTATCCAGTATCCTGACTCCGGCGCATCTGCTCACATGACCCCTCATGAAGGTAATTTAACTCATAATAAATCACCTTCTTCTGAATCACTATCTGTTACGGTTGCAAATGGATCTACTTTACCAATTGCTACTGTTGGTAATGTGTTATTATCTACTCTAGCTAAGCCTCTCCATTTAAAATCGGTTTATCATGTTCCTCAAATTAAATATAATTTATTATCCATTCAAAAGCTATGTGCCGACAATAACTGTTTAGTAATTTTTGATAAAAATTCCGTTTTGTAAAGGACATAACCACGGGGAAGGTTCTTCTTCGGGCATCCAGTGATGGTGGAGTCTACCCTATTACGTACCCTATCCACGCCTTTAGCTCTTAGCACGAATGTTGCACCTGGTCCGGTCTGGCATCGACGTTTGGGACACTATGGAAGTCGTATTTTGGATAGGCTTAAGAAATCTGGCTCAATTTTAAGTACTTCTAATTTTTCTCATGACTGTACTTCTTGCCGTGTAGGCAAATCTCAACGATTACCTTTTCAGGAAGTTTTTCATAAATCTACAGTACCGTTATTTTTAGTTCATTCAGATGTATGACAATCTCCTACTTTGTCTGATTCAGGTTTAAGGTATTATGTTATTTTTATAGATGACTACTCTCGTTTTACTTGGTTATATCCAATGCACCGCAAGGATAAAGTTGTTCGTCATTTTCAAAATTTTAAAACATTGGTGGAAAATTTATTGGATCATAAAATTAAAATTTTTCAAAGTGATGGAGGGGGTGAGTTTGATAATATAGATATGCGTACTATTTATTGGATCACAAATCCTGTCCTGACACTCCCCAACAAAATGGGGTGTCTGAACGTAAACATCGTCATCTGTTAGAATTAGTGCGTACTATGCTTTTTGAAGCTAGTTTACCGGCTAAATTCTGGGTTGATGTTGTCTATACTGCTACCTATATTATCAATCGATTACCTACTCCTACCTTAAATGGTTTATCTCCTTTTGAAAAATTATTTAAACATCCACCAAATTTTTCTTTTATGCGCGTATTTGGATGTGCCTGTTTTCCGAACTTTAATGCCTCATCTCCGAACAAATTATCTCCTCGATCGGTACTGTGTGTATTTTTGGGTTATGCTCCTGAATATAAAGGATATCGTTGTTTGGATCCTAAAACTGGCATAATTTATATTAATCGGAATGTGCGGTTTCATGAAAATCATTTTCCTTATTTTGAACTAGTTTCGTCTTCCACCTGTCCGCCTGCATGTTCTCTACAGTATCCTCTGACGACGATATCTACACCCACCAGTCCACCCGCAGCTGCTGTCAACCCTCTTCCCATCACCATTTTGCCCGACCTGCAACAGCCACCATTAACTCCACCTGCACCAGCTTCTAGTCCACGAAGCAGCACATCCAGCTCACCACCAAGTCCTACTCTCTCGGCCTCCCCTCCATCACACTTCTTAAACGACCAGTCCAACGACAATCCTCCATCTCCAGTTAACCCTACAGCTTCGGCCGAACAACATTCTTCACCCAGCAGTCCTCCCCATTTAAACCATCACCTCATGCAAACCCATTCTAAATCCGGAATTTTTAAGCCTAAACAGATTTTTAGTTTAAAAACAGATATTGCGGCATGTGATCCTTCTTGTTTTTCTCAAGCTAATAAAGATTTTAAATGGAGAGATGCCATGGCTGAGGAATTTAATGCACTTATTCATAATAACACCTGGGAATTAGTTCCTCCTCATAATCGTCAGAATGTGGTTCGGTCGAAGTGGATTTATAAAACCAA